CCAAGTTGCGGACCCTGTCTGAGGGGTGTAGAATTTGACCCCCCAGCCTGAGTGTTGGAATACTAGCCGAATTATTGGGAGGGAAACACAACAGCCACTCGATCTTTTCCGGGTTGAGTACAAGCTTATTAGCCCTCATCCAGTCCCTAACGGCTTCAAGACCCCGGCTCATCACGTCCACCGCTTCATTGAGTTGGCACGGGGCGGACAGATACAGCTGCGTATCATCCGCATATTGATGGTATCTTATCCCGTGCCTCCGAATGATCTCGCCCAACGGTTTCATGTAGATGAATTGATTTGATTAGGCTCTCCTTGTCCAATAAACATTCAAGGGTTCAGATGCCTCCGAATCCAAAGTACACTGCCTCTGTGTATCTAAACTCTGATTAAGCCCAATTGAGAGGCGTTTTAGTATAGTGGTTATTGCACTGAGCTAGAAACTGGGAGAGGTTGAGTTCTACTTTAAAGTCAGCTGAGTGACCTTGGGACAGTCGCCCTTTCTCAGCTGTAAAAAGAAGGAAATAATAGCAAACCACTTCTGAAAAACCTTGCAAAGAAAAACTAGTCCAGGCAATCACAAGAAGTCAAAAATTAACTCAAAAAGACAAAAAAAGCCCAATCAAACAACTTAAAAGTGAACATAATAGAGGTGTAACAGAATATGTCTGTTGAGCCAGAAATGGATAGAAATAATTATTTGCCTCTTGTAATACTGGAATCCTAGGAATAGCCAAGGGAATTGATGGAAGTTCTAGGTTTCAGGCTTAGTTCTCAAGTTAGGTCTTGGAAATCCAATTCAATCCCTGCCCAACTGAACTCTGGAACACTGTTGTCAGTCAATAGAGACTAAGAAGTAGCAGCATGTAAATTGCAAGAAATCAGTTCAGGCCTGTATTATGGGCATTATTTTCTTTCCTTCATCGTACAGTGGCGGGGATGTGGGGGAGATGAAAGAAAAAAGTGTGTCTGAAAGCAAAAGTAGCATCAGAGATAATAGGTATCCTGATCCATTTGGGACACTGGGTTTGCCACATTCATGGTGCCATTCCCAATAAAATGTGGTCACTGGTCCCCAATATAGATAGTGCTGAACTAAACAGGCCACTAGTTTCTAATGGCTTAAATAAAGATGGGACAATGTCATAGACATAATTTCTCTCTCTTTATTAGTACCAACTAATGTGAAGCCTACAGATTCAGAGACAATATAGCTCTAAACGCCAATTGTTGAAGGATGGCTATTCCCTGCTTAAGGACATCCATGGGTTGTCCATGATTAGAAATGTGATATATTTGAACTCCAATATAGATTTTGGTATTATTCTTTTAATCTGAATTGAATGGATATTTTTGGGATTCAGACAGTGAACATCCTGTCCAGAATACTAGGATCTGAAAGAGAAACCAATTAGTGGTCATCCCTTTTGTACAGCTCTATTTTTCTCAAATGTGTGGATTCCGTGTTCTCCACAGTATTGTTTGGACCAGAGGAAAGAGGGGCAATCTATCTTCCTTGAAAAACCACAGGCACCAAGTGTTTAAGTTCAGGGAGCTGAATTAAATAGGGTTGGCTTTGCTGGTTCAGTGTCCTAATCTCATGGAAGGAAAGAGGCTTGTTGGTAGGTAATTTGAGAGCTAATTTTGGATACACGGAATATTCTAAATTCCAGGTCACTGGGAAAAAAATTGCTAAGTGGTCTCAAGGAATCTAGTCAGCCTGAGTCATCTGGAAAAACCCCCCTGAAAAAAGGATAGCTGTTCAGTATTACTGGACAAAATTCTGGTAATGTAATTTTCCAAGGCAGTTCCATTTATCGGAACAGCAAAGAAAACGCAGCCATTGAGGAGTGTTTGCTGCAAATATTCTGACATACTGAACAAATCAGGAGTGAATCTGTGCTTTGTAAATAGTGAATATCCAGGAAGCAAAATTACTTCTACAATAAAACGAATTGATGCACATTTATCCTGCTGCCAGAGTATTATGGAAAGGATAATGTAATATGTGTTTTCTTTTATGTTGTATGCCGCCCTGAATCCTTGGGAGAAGGGCAGCATATAAATCCAATAAACCTAGAAACCTAAACCATAAGGAGGAAAATTTGCGGCTTCTATAAAAGGTTCTGTTTAAGGTATTAAGCCAAATCTTTGTGCATTATAACAAGATGTAATGGATAAAGTGGTACATAAAATTAATTTATAGTCTCTCCTGTGTTCTTCTCAGATTCTACTCAAAAAGATCCACTTAGACATCTCTGTAATTAGAGACCAATGAAGCTTCATTGCTTTTTTCAAATCAAGAATTCTCAAAATCACAAGTTTATCTTAATCCTTTTGTTTAACCAAGATTCCACATATGTATCTGACCAAACAGGTTCTCTCTGCCCAAGGATAGTCCCTAACCAACTATGCATATTAAACTGAAATTCACTGTCTACCTTAGGAGAAATTCTAAAATTTATGTGTTTATACTATATTGCATTATTAGATTTATTTCAGCTAAGGCAGTCATCCAAAAGCATCCTGAAAAGATGACAAGAGCATACCACAGAAAAAGCCTGTTTGTGTGAGGAATCTATCCTTTCTACTGAGGGCTTCCTGTGTCACTTTCCAACAAGCAGAGAAACCCGTTGCATTAAGAGAAAAATGACGGGATGAAAATAAAGAAATACTATTCAGTGAAAGGGTCTCTTTCTTTCAATTTCTTCAACTACAAGGGAAAAAATTCCTAGTACATGGGTAATAAACTTGGTGTCAGCTTTGGAAGCCATAGTAACACTAGAAGCTTCTACACTGCGACATTCTTGGGAAATTAGGAGGGGGGATTTAGTAGAGGGAATGTAGTTAGATATAATAGCATTCTTCTTTTCGGTCAAGATCATGGTATTCCTGCACCTGGAGGAGGAGTGGTTGAAGTGATGTCTCAAGTTAGGAGGAATTGGGATTGGACCATATGATGGATTGATGGGTGCAGGGATGGGTTTGGACTTTTGACTTACTGAGGGAAAGCCCGGAATTCTCAAACTTGGGTTTTCCCAGATGTGCTTGTATACCTACTCTAATAAATGTGAGCTTTGAGAAATGCCTGTCTTGGAATTTTTCATTGGGTTGGGTCTTTCTGGAATGCTGATGCTTGGCTGGTTGAAGGGAGAATGATCTGGGTCATATACATTAACAAGAGGGAGTTAAATCACTCACCTCCCAAAAAGAAAGACAGGCTGGTCTAACAGTCAACCTGCTCTTTGTACTGACAAACTATGGTTTCCCTACTGACCATAAAATGACA